GTGAGATTGGTATATAAATACATTTATCACTTAGGGTGGCGAGCCAGTCAGCATGTTCTTTCTTCAATTTCATGTTATGGAAAGACAAATAAGACCAATGGCTAGTGATGAAGAGCAATGTAAAAAAAATTATCTTTTCTTCTCTTTCTTTCTTCATTCCCTCCTTCCTTCCATCCATTTTTCTACCTTATCTTTCTTTTGGTCTTTATATTTCTGCCTTACTTTCTTCCTTTTTAAATTTCATTTAAAAACACATTTATTAAGGCTGGGGATTTAGCTCAGTGGTTCCACCACCTGCCTCACAAGTGCAAGGTCCCAAGTTTGATCCCCGGTACCAAAAAAACCACAACCCCCCCCCAAAAAAACCCCCCATTTATTAATAATACCTCTAATCCTGGTGAATTTGTTTAGTTTTACCTTAATGAAATGGTTTTAGGAAGATCTATACCTAGAGAATATTCTTTCAATCCTTAAATTAGATAAGACATATATATGTCGGTTTAGAAGATGCTTGTTAAACCATTTTAAAGAGTGTGTTCTGAATCTACTGTACAAAGCTAGCATGTATGGGATTTTCCTTACATAACTGACCATGAAGCCAATTACATTCTCATACCAATAAGGAACACCAACTTGGGAAAATACCCATCTGTTAAATCAAGCTTATTAGTTACGTGATACAAGCACTTTGAATTCTGACAATTTTTAATAACTTGCTCTTGTCGTTGTCTGGTATACATGCTCAAGTCTTCCTCGACGATTGTGGCTCTATTTGTTTCTTTTCCTGTTTCTAACAAGTTTTGTCTTATGTAGATTTTGCTAGTTTTAAATGCACTCATTTGCATGAGTAGTTTTGTGCAATTTTATCACATATTCAGACTTATATAACTAGCTTCATAATCAAGACACAGGGCTGATCCCATCAGCACAAGGCTCCTTGTGCTGACCCTATACTGCCACCGTTCCCTCCATCCTTATGTCTTGGCCATGACTATCTGTTCTATATTTGCATAAGTTTATTTTGAGAATCATTATTTTAAGAATGTTATGTTATATACATGGGACCATAAATTATAGAAAATTTTAAGATTAGCATTTATGCACAGCATAATTTTCTTGATTTATCTGAATTGTCATGTGTTCCAATAGTTCATTTATTTTTATTGTTGGGTAGTAGCCCACAATATGAACTAATATGGATTGCTAAATCACCCATTAAAAAACATTTGGTTTGTTTCCAAATTTTGGATATTATGGATAAAACTGCTATAAATACACATGTACAGGTTTTTGCATGAGCATCAGTTTTTATTTGCCTATGAAACATGTTCACAGTGTAAGTCCTGGGTTGTATGATAGCCACAGACTTCATTGTATAAGAAATTCCTGAACAGTTTTCTGAGTAATTGTATCATTTAACATTCTCACTGTAAGACCATGTGTCTCACCAACTGCTCCTGAGGAGCTGGCTACAGTGAGGATCACCTGGGAGGGAACACACTGGACAAGTTGTGAACTTAAAACAGACCTTTATTAGTCTGGCCAGATGGCACCCCCAAGCACCAAGCTTAAAGAGGTGAGAGGCTCAGAGCCTGAGGTCCTTTTATAGGAGATGCTAGGGGGAAGTTAGCAAGCAGAAATACAAAAGTGAAGTGCTGAAGGAGAGGGATTTTACAGATTGTTCTTAAGATAACATCTTCTGTTATGGAGTTGGGTAAGCATGATGGAACACTGCACACTCCACAGATCTTCCTGGCACAACAGCAAATACATTCCTGGAACTTGATGTTCCCCTGGTGATCCGTAACAGAAGCAGACAAGTTGGGGCCCTATTACAAAATGGAGTAACTGTTGTTCAGTCTCACATTCCCCACTGATTTTTCCCGTGGCTATGTAATGTTATACAGCATTATCTTGGTATTGTCTCCAACTTCACTCTTCCTCATCTAGCTCACTTAAAGGATGATATTTGGCCTGCTGATTCAGAATCATTAGGTGAAGAGATCCTATCCAGGCCCTTACATAGGCCATAAGCTTATTAATAATGCATGGGCTGAAAGTCAAAGCTAGTAACAAGATTAACAGGGGTCCAGCAAGGGCAGAAACAAGGGTAGTTATCCAGGAAGATCAGTTAAATATTGACTGGAACCATCCCTTCTGTTTTTCCCATCTATTATATTTTTCTTGTAGGTGTTTATTTATGGTGGCCAGGATTTCTCTTCTTATTCCAGATTTATTAGCATAATAGCAACGTTACTCTCCTAGGGCTGCACATAGCCCTCCCTCTTTCATAAACCTGAGGTTGAGTTCTCAGCGGTTTTGAAGGACCATCTCAGCCAGAGAATCAACCTGTTTTTTCAAATGAGACACTGACTCAGTAAGTAGGCTAAGTCTATTTTTACCTGTTGGGCAAAAGTCTTGAAGTTTGAGTCTTGCAGTCCTATTGCAGTAGCGCCCAGAGCCCCTGATTCCACAATGCCTGTTGCAGTTAACACAGGAATCAATTCTGGGTGGCATTTTTCTTGGGTGCATGCTCTCTTAGCTGGGTATTGCCAACCCTAGTCTTCTCCATATATAGTGACTTGGGGTAAAATGTGGACCATTATGCATACCTCAAGTTCCTGATTGAGGACTGTCATGGACAAACAAGGAGTTATACCATTTGTACATGCCCACCATACATTGTTTCCAGCTTTTAGATATTTTTCATTACTGGCAGTGGGTGTCTGATAAGAACATATACTGTCCAGATAAGAAGATGTAACACTTGGATTTTTAACACATGACCCTTTTCCTTTTATATCACCAATTGACAACCTCAGTTTTTTCCAATCACACTCATTCTGGTCAGCTTCTGAGAAGGTGCTGTTTACTGCCAACCCTACATAATACGGGGGACATGGACTCAAACACAGCCAACACCCTTGGGTAAGATTGGAGCTAGACTCATTTAACAGAGTGTACATGGCACCCAGGGTTTTTAGGTATGGTTGGATTGGAGATTCAGGAGCAGCTAATGACACATTATAGGTTCCTTTTGCCTTTTCTTTTTCTTGGGGGCCAGAGACCCTATAGATGTTGCCTACCAGTTTAGGTGGTACTATTACTGGGCTATGCTGGATGAGGAGGTCAGTCATAGGGTCCTTTCCACCAACATAGAGTGCCACGGTCCAGGATTTTCCTTTTTCCCAATCTCTATACAGATTCTGCCATTGTTTTAAAGTTAACTTGATGGGATTACATTTTCCTTTGGAACATGAACCACTTGGTATTTGTTGTTCCAAGGCCAAATATGCATCATCGTTTTTCCATGAGGCAATAGATTTGCAACCCCAATAATTACAGTGGTTTCCTGGTCCCCCATTGCACCTTTTATTTTTCCTATGGGGCAGGCATAAATATCTATGTCTTGGAGGGTTTTTTCCAACTTATCATCTGTTCCACACTACCCTCTGTGGCCCCCTTTACCCATCTTTCTGGATTAAACTTTACCCTTTGAACCAGCCCCACCCCCCACTAATGATTGGAAGCCCCAGAACACAGAGGTCTATAATAAAATGGGGCTGTCAGTAGTAATGGTGGCAATGTGAGCTCCATTAAGGCATTTTTTAGGGACCAAGTCCAGTTCTGGGGAGTGTGGCTGGACAGCACCAGCTGGCATCCAGATCCCCCTTCCATCGGGGCTGGTAAGAACAGTAGCCCCAAGAACCCCCATATTGTCCAAACTAGTCTTTGATTAGTCTTATCTTGAGGGGGTCCTTTGTGTTCCAGTCGATTTGCCATGTTGAGATTGCTTCCTCTGGGGGTGCCGCCTTTAAATGGCTGAGGTGGATCCAGGCAGAGTGTCCAGCTACCTTCACTGCTGAGGGAGTCACCAGGATGATGGGAAATGGTCCCTTCCAGTGGGGTTCTAGGGTCTTGGAGTCAAACCTGTGATTGAGAACCAAATCTCCAGGCTTATAGGGTAAGGGTTGCAAAGGTTTTTCACTGGAACCAGGGATAGTTTTTCTCAGCTTATCATGTAGCTCTGATTGAAGCTGATGGACTGCTTTTAGGGACTTAAGGAGTTGGAGGTGGGAAAGTTTTTCCTTCAACTCCAGATCAACCAAAGGGATGATCGGGGGAGATTGCCCATAAATGATCTGGTAGGGTGACAGATTTAGGGGCAGCTTAGGTGTACACTGGGTATGAAGGAGGGCAAAGAGGAGAAGTTCTACCCAACCTTGTTCAATCTCCAGGCATAATTTAGTTAGGACCTCTTTTAAGGTTCAATTTGCTCTTTCTATTTGTCCTGAACTCTGAGGCCTATAGGCACAATGTAAATTCCATTTTACCCTTAAAGCTTTACTGATGAATCAAGATAATTTCAGCCATAAAGGCTGAGCCATTGTCAGACCCCAGGGCTAAGGACAAGCCAAAATGAGGAATTATTTCTGTCAAGAGCTTTTCGATGATTACCTTGGCTGTCTCTCTCTTAGTAGGAAAGGCTTCTATCCATCCTGAAAAAGTATCTACAAAGACTAATAAGTACTTGTATCCATACATGCTAGGTTTCATTTCAGTAAAATCCAATTCCCAATGTTCTCCTGGAGTTAATCCTCTATGTCGGACCCCGGGGTGTGGGGGGGTGTCCAGTCACTTGGTTTGCATTTACCTTGATACAGGTGGGGCATCGTCTCACTAGGTCTTTGGCCTTTTGTGCCATTCCCTTGCTGACGAAATGGGGTTGCAGAGCGGCCATCATTCTTTTCTCACCAAGGTGGGTGGACCTATGCAGTTCTTGTAGCAGCATATCTGCTACAGTGGCTGGGAGCACCACTTTTCTGTCCTCGGTTGTCCACCATCCATGTTTACCTTGGGCCCACCGCTTTTTGGCCATTTCCACCATTTCTTCCTCTGTGTACTCTGGTTTCTCTGGCAGCACTGGTGTGGGGAGCAGAGCCATCTGTTTCCCCACTGATTTTTGGGCATCTTGTTTCGCTGCCAGATCAGCTGCATTATTACCAATCACCTTGGGGCTAGCCCCCTTTTGATGCCCAAGGACATGGATGATAGCAACCTCTTGGGGCAACCAAATGGCTTGTAACAATGTCAATATCTCAGTTTTATTTTTGTCTTTCCTTCAGAGGTTAGTAGCCCTCAGTTTTGATAAATCTCCCTGTGCACATGGGCGGTGGCAAAAGCATAATGGCTGTCAGTGAAAATATTTATCCTTTTACCTTTACCTAGTTCCAGAGCCTTGGTCAAAGCAATCAACTCAGCCTTTTGTGCTGATGTCCCTTGGGGCAGTCCTTGGTCCCATTTCACCTGTTGGTCCTGGCTGACCACCGCCGCCCCAGCATATTGCACTCCATCACACATGAAGCTGCACCCATCAGTATAGAATGTGACCTCCACTTGGGGGAGGGCCTGGTGCATTAAATCTGGACACCCTCCCCATAAATTTTCAAGAGTCTCAAGGCAATCAAGGATGGGCATCTGTTCGTTGGACTCTGAGAGTAAGGTAGCCGGGTTGAGGCTAGCGGTGGTGGCAAACTTGATGCACAGCTGCTCCAATAGGAGTCCTTGGTATTGCAACAATCTGGCATTAGATAGCCACTTTCTAGGGGAGCTGTTTAATAAGGGCTCAATGGCATGGGGAGTGACTAAAGTCAAATCCTGTCCAAATGTCAGTTTGTCAGCCTCTCAGGTTAGAGCAGCTGCTGCTTCTACAGTCTTCAGACAGGTGGGCCACCCTCAGGCTACTGGGTCTAGCTTTTTCAAGAGGTATACCACAGGCCACTTCCATGGTCCCAAAGGCTGAGTTATCACTCCCTTAGCTACCCTGTTCTTCTCTGCTATATACAGAGTGAAGGGCTTCGTTATATCTGACAATCCCAGGGTTGGTGCCAATGCAAGTGTAGTTTTAAGCAATTGGAATGCCTGCTGGCAAGCCTCAGTCCATTTGAGGGGCATATCTCCCCCTGCAATGGCTTCATGCAGGGGTTTGGCAATTTCAGCAAAGCCAGGGATCCAAATTCTGCAATACCCGATTGCCCCTAGGAATTCACACACCTGTTTCTTTGAGCTTGGTTCTGGAATCTGGAGAATTGCTGATACCCTTGATTCTGTTAGCTTCCTCTTCCCTTCCTGAAGAATATAGCTCAAGTAGGTTACCTTGGTCTGGCAAAGCTGAGCTTTTTTCCAGAACACCTGATATCCCAGGTCTTGGAGAACTTCCAGGAGGCCCTCGGTGGCCACAAGACATTCTTCATTGGTTGAAGTTGCCACCAGGAGGTCTTCTACATACTGAAGAATAGTTGCATGGGGAAAAGCTCTCCTTACCTCTCATAAATCTTTGCTGAGAGCTTCACCAAACAGAGTGGGAGAGTTCTTGAATCCCTGTGGCAGCCAGGTCCATGTCAGCTGTCCAGTAGTCCTGGTGTCTGGGTCAGTCCATTCAAAGGCAAAGAAGGGCTGGCTCACTGGTGCTAGGGGCAGGCTGAAAAATGCATCTTTGAGGTCTAATACCAAGTACCACACATGAGCAGGAGGGATGAGACCCAACAGAGTATAGGGATTTGGTACCATTGGGTGGATGGTTTCCACCCGGCTGTTTACCTCCAACAAATCCTGTACCAGTCTGATGTCTGAGGTGTCAGGCTTCCTCACAGGAAGCAGGGGTGTATTCCAGGCTGACTGGCAAGGGACCAAGATGCCGGCCTCTTGCAGTTGGTGGATGTGTTTAGAGATTTCCACCTTGGCCTCCAGTCGGAGGGGGTATTGTCACACATGGACAGGGGCAGCAGAGGTCAGCAACTGGACCACCACTGGGGCATGGTGGTTAGCCAGCCCAGGTGGATTGGTTTCAGCCCATACCCTGGGAAACTTTTTCTGAAGGTAGTCCCATTTTTGTTCAGGGGGCTCTGTGCCCTCCTTTAGCAATCTAAATTCATCTTCTAGGGGAACCATTACCATAATGGCAGAGGGTAACTTAAGTTTGAAGGTCCCTCTTTCAGGCTCAAAGGAAATAATAGTCCCCAACTTTCATAGCAAGTCTCTTCCCAGCAATGGGTATGGGCACTCAGGGATAACTAAGAAGGAATGGGTGATGGTGTCTTTTCCTAGATTCACAGTCCATCTAGTGGTCCAAGGGTAGGAGGTCACTTTCCCAGTGGCTCCAGTAATGGAGGTTTTTGAGGAAGTGAGGGGTCCAAGGGGGGTCTTCAGGACAGAGTGGGCCGCACCAGTGTCCACAAGGAACTGGACATCTGTTCCCCCATCTCCGAAGTCACGATAGGCTCACTAGGGTTGAGCAGCCATGAACCTTGGCCCCGTCAATCTTCTTCATCTACTAAGAGGATCCCACCTTTTTCCTTTTGGGCCTCCTTTTTTCTTTTTCTTTTTAGCTTTTCACAGTCCTTTTTAAAATGGCCCTTTTCCTTACAATAGGCACACTGATCTTAGGGTCAGATCTTTCCCTTGTTCCCTAGCTTATTTTTGGGTCTTTCTTTCTGCACAAATCCTCCATCAGCCAAGGTGGCTATGGTCACTTTTCCCAGCCTCTTGGCCATCCTCTCTTCCAGGGGATCTCTGTTGTTAAACGTCTTCATGGCTACACTCATCAACTTTTCTCAATTCTCTCCCTCAAATCCCTCTAGCCTTTGCAGCTTCTTTCTATGTCTTGAGCCGACTGGGTAACAAATGCCAAATTTATTGCCTACCAATTTGCAGAGGCATCTGGATCGATTGGAGTATACGTACAATATGCTTCCAACAGATGCTCCAAAAAAGCAGAAGGGGATTCCTCAGATCCTTGAAGGACCTCGCTTACCTTGCTCAAATTGGTAGGCTTCTGAGTGGCTTCCCTCAGGCCAGCCAGGAGATGCTGATGATAGTTCTGAAGAGCTTCTCTCCTGCCTGAGGTGTTAGTTTTCCAGTGGGGTTGGGTGGATGGGAGTTGTGCTTCAAGACAGGCTCACTGTTGGTCATCTAGGGGGCCTTCTGGTCCACCTAGTACTGACCTCATAGCTTGTCCCCAGATCCTTTCCCTTTCCTCTGAGGTAAAAAGGGCCTGGAGGAGTTGTTGGCAATCATCCCAAGTAGGATCATGGGTATGGAAGATAGACTCTAGGAGAGATATTAGGGCTTGGGGCTTCCCTGAGAATGGAGGATTTTGATGTTTCCAATTATATAAGTCACTAGTACTGAAGGGGATATAAACATAGTGACCTTGTTCTTTCTCTCGAAGGGGCAAGAGAGGGGCCAAACTAATTTCCCCAGTGGGGACCTGGCAAGGTCCATATGCACCCCCAGCTCATGTGTGTGGGGGAGAAGTCACCGAGTCTGGGGAGTGGGGCGCCTCAGGGAGAGGAGGATAGAGAGGAGTAGGAGCCGAAGGTTGAACAGATGGAGAAAGGAAAGGATTTCAAGGTCTAGAGCGGGATCCATCTGAGGAGGTGGAGGATTCCACATAGGGTGGAGGCCCTCCCAAGGGGTCTAGGGGGTCAGGTTCCTGCAAGAGTACTGGCTTGGGAGCTTGGGTCTTAAGTCCCTGGGGTCCTTTCAGGGCAGTGACTAAAATTCGAGTGTCTGTTAGAAGGGAACAGCACTGCAGCCAAGCCGGAGGTTTCTCACAAGCCTGAACCCAGATGTCTATGTAGGGAAATTGGTCTGGGTGGCCAGGGTGACCGGTGACTTTGCCCCACACCTTCCAGCAAATACTAGGGTCAAAAGTCCCTTCGGCTGGCCATCCCACCCCAAAGGCTGGCCATTCCAGTTGGCACAGGGAGCAGAGTCTTCCATGAGACAATTTTACCCCATATTCATCTTCTTGTTCTCGAGAAAAAGCCAATTTAAAATTAGTGAGAAAGCAGTCAAGTGGAGTGGATCCGGTAGAACAGGTTCCTCCCATTACTCTGCTCCTGATGAGGATTGGAAAGAAAAAAATGTAAAATCAGACACACAACAGACACAACACTAACATACAAAAGACAAGACAAATGGGCGCCATGACAAAATGAAACTAAATCTTCCCTTGTTCCTCATCAGGAACCTCGGGGTCAGGGGAGGCTTCCTGGCTCATCAGCCACCTCACTCCTGACTTAACAAATGGTTGCAACTGGCCAAAAGCTTACCTCCAGAGGTATTCTGAGGTCTGTGCCTGAGAGTCTCCTGCTGGATCCCACCACGGAGTCTTGGCCAAACCAGGGGTTCCTACCCAGGCATCTCACTGGGGCCTCTAAATGTAAGACCATGTGTCTCACCAACTGCTCCTGAGAAGCTGGCTACAGCGAGGATCACCTGGGAGGGAACACACTGGATAAGTTGTGAACTTAAAACAGACCTTTATTAGTCTGGCCAGATGGCACCCCCAAGCACCAAGCTTAGAGAGGTGAGAGGCTCAGAGCCTGAGGTCCTTTTATAGGAGATGCTAGGGGGAAGTTAGCAAGCAGAAATACAAAAGCGAAGTGCTGAAGGAGAGGGATTTTACAGATTGTTCTTAAGATAACATCTTCTGTTATGGAGTTGGGTAAGCATGATGGAACACTGCGCACTCCACAGACCTTCCTGGCACAACAGCAAATACATTCCTGGAACTCGATGTTCCCCTGGTGATCCGTAACAGAAGCAGACAAGTTGGGGCCCTATTACAAAATGGAGTAACTGTTGTTCAGTCTCACATCACCTGCAGTGGATGAGTGATCCAGTTTCTCTGCATCCTTTACAAGTAGTTGATATTATCACTATTTTTAAAATTTTAACCATGCTGATAAGTATGTATTAATATCTTAATTTTGGTTCTTGAATTTCTCTGATGGTAATAATGTTGGACATCTTTTCATGTGCTTATTTGCTGACCTCTTTGCTGACATGTCTATTTTTTACTCATTTTAATTGGATTTTTTAAGCGTTGAATTTTGAGAGTTCTCTGAATATACTCACAGACTATATGGTGATATTTTGGTCAATGAAGGATCACATTTAGGATGGTGATCCCATAAGAGTATTTCACTCTTATATATTACAGTCCCTTTAGTTCATGTAAGTATACTAAATAGCTTATTTGATTTGAAAAAGTATTAGAAGTACTTCTTCCCCATGGAGTTACTGCAGAATTGAGTCTCCTGATCATGGCCCACAAGGTCTCAGTGACAAGATACCTTGCCTGTCTCCCTGGCTATTACCTCTGAGCTGTCTATCTTTCTACATCAGATTGGAGGTAGTTGTGTGCAGGGCTTCTTCTAGTGGAATTTAGCCCCTGCCCTCACTTTGCCATGCGAAGCAGGCCACTTAGTAATATTTTAGGCTTTTCCTACAAAACTTTCCTCTTTCTTCAGAGCTGTACACTGAGAGTGGTGGAAATGGCATGCCTAATGTCTAACTTCCTCTCCTCTCCATGTACTTTAGGACTGAAAGTCATCAGGCTATAAGGTTTGCCTTCCCCAAATCCCATCAGTTTCTTAGCATTGGGTGGAAACTTTCTGGTCCAGATTTAGTGGTAGAAATATGTAACTTTATATATTTGAAGAAATTGTATGACCTGATTTGATTTTAAGCAAGGGTTCTTTATATGTAAAATAATTTTAAAATGCCCCTTTTCACAAAGCCCAAAGTTTAACTCAATTTCCCTGCTGCTAAGTCAAGCAAAAATCCAATTTGATAGTTAAAGATGAAAAATGACCTCATTGATATAGGACCCCATATCTACTCTTCCCCAATTATTGAAACTCTTTACATTAGAGGACAATGAGATTCACCAGAACTTAAAAATGTATATTCAAAAAACTAGAAATTATCTTCATTTTCAGGGATAATTGCAAAAAGTTATTCACTTGGTTTTATTAGAAATAGTGAAATTATCTGCATGCAAGTATGTCCCTTTATACCCTGTTTCAGTGTTTGAAATTCCTATCTTTTAAATACAGTTTTTATGGAAAGCATTGTTATTGGGAAAATTTGTTAAAGGGCTCTTCTGGGGCAATTGAAGTTGAGTAACATTTGCAACGTTGTGAATGATTGATGGTCTCTTCATTTTGTGTTGTTATAACACACAAGGACTAGGAAATTTATAAAGAAAAAATATATTTAGTCCATTGTGCTGGAGGGTGGGAAGTCCAAGGATATGGCACAAGCATCTGCTCCATATCTGCTGAGTGCTGTATTGCATCACCCCATTGCAGAGCACAGAAGGGCAAGAGAGCACAAGAGGGTGAACTCCTTTCATCTGAAACCCTCTCCCTCAGGAATGGATCCATTCATAAGGGCACAGCATGACAGTCATGACCTAATGAGCTCTTAAAGGTACCCCCTCCCAACACTGTTGCTCTGATGAGTACGTTTCCAACACATGAACTTTGAGGCACATTCACACCACAGTCAATGGCTAGTATCTTTGTATTTGCCACTGGCATGTTCAGAAGAGGCAAGAATGCAGTCCCTGTCAGTTCCTAGGATGAGGAACTAAATGAGGAACCTTGAAGCTGCTATTCAAAATGAAGATGACAAATTTACCATGCTGCTCATATCTAACAGCAAGCACAAGCCCACAATGGGTTATTTTTGAGTAGATGAGTAGATATATCCTTTTTTCCTTTTGGAAGCTTAGGTTGGGGCTCCCTGTCATAGGATAAGACCAAATTCTGATGATCCCTGTTTGATCACATTGGAGTGGCAATGTGTTTTATAAACGACACCGCTGGCCTTGAACAAAAAGCAGCAGTGATTATTCAGGCCCTGGTGACACTGCATGCAGAGATGAGTATGACAGGGAATCAAAGAATCATATTGTCTCCCCTTTGCTCATTTTTTTTTTGTCTTTTTAAAAATTAATTTTATTGGTAATTTTTGGGTATACAATATAATAACATTCATCGTTGGAAATTTGTACCTTTATGTAATCTATCTTGGTTCTTATTTTTTTCCCCATTCCCCTGACCTCCCTTCAACCCCTCTATCCCTCCCTATTTACAAAGACTTTGTTTCCATTTTATCCTTTTCTCATATTAATTCCATTCTCTTTTTTCCTTTCCCCTACCCCTCCCACTTCCCCTTTCCCTCTGCCCCTTTTCTTCCTATTTCACATTATCTATTATACCTTTTAGTCCTTATTTACACTTTCAGTTTCTCATACCAGAGAGACTATTCAGTATTTACGCATGCGTCTCTAATTTCTCACTCTTTATGGCTGAGTAGTACTCCATTTTATATAAAAAAACACATTTTCTTTATCCACTCTCCAGTTGATGGGCATTTTGGGTTGTTTCCAAGTTTTAGCTATTATAAACTGTGCTGCTATGACATGAGTGCACATATATCGCTATATATAAGTTGAAAGGCTTCATTTTATTCCTAAAATTGTCTGCATTTTTCTAAACCTAGGCAAAGTTTCAAAATCTATACAGATGAGTTGGTTAGCTAATTATTCATAGAATGATTATTAAGCCACATTCTTGGATGAGAGTCAGAATTTAATGAATATTATATGTTTGTGAATCTTAAAGAGTTTCTTCATCCTACTACTTAAATAATTGGATAACATTTATTTTTTGTTTTGTGTAACAACCTGTTGTTATTACATTATTTACAAGTCACTAACAAGATTCCAATTACATATATGCAGTCATATCAAAGATTAAGACTTTTACCGGATGTTTAATCTAAAAGAAACTTGGGGTATTGACCACTATATTTGTTTCCTTCCTTGATTTTTGGAATTGTCACTATCTTCATTTAAAAGATCTGATGACTCCTTTATGTGCCTTAGAGTTTACTAGTAGTGTTAGAAATTACATAGGCCAGGGGAAAAAGAAGGATCTCAAATAAGTGTTAACACCCCCTCCCCCAGCCCAACTTCGATTCTGGGTTGAAAGACAGCTAACTTCCTCATTCCGGTCCCTGGCCTGAGCTCCACCCCCTGATTCCTAAGGCCACCCTTGCCACTGCTGTCTTTCACATAAAACCAACCATCCTCTCTGATCCAGGCAGTCATCTCCTTGGTTCCATTTTCTTCTGTACATCCACCCCCAAATCCTAGCACTAGGTCTTGGTCCTCCCTGGCCTGGGGAATGATCCCCTTGGTTTGGCTCCTCCAGCTGGTGGATAGTGGGAGACACGGGGGGGGGGGCACCTGTCTCTGTTTTCCATTTCTTTTGCCTAGAGACACCCCCCCCCCACTATGGGCAGTTCCGATTTGGCCTTCTGATAACCCAAAGACCTGTCTTTATTTTGTCGACTTGTAAACCTAAAAACCCTCTATCTGGGAGAGGGAGTCATAAAAAAAAATTTAAAAACCCCTTATTTTCATCAATAGCATAGCTTAACAGATAATAATAACCTAAACACAGGACCTTTGGTTTCCAAATTCTTCCAGAATTAAATGGATTTATTCAGCACAATGAAAGTGGTCCACAGTTCCTTGAGTGTAGGCTTTCTTTCACTTTCTCGCCAACTTTCTTTCCATACTGTACTATTTTCCAAATTCTTTTTCACAATCACTCTAGACTTGACTCTAGTTCTCTCTTTAACCTTATATTCAATCCTGTGAACATGGAGCCCCACTGCCTGGGTTTCAGCCACTCTCAGGGCTCAGTTCTGCCTCTAGTCTCTTCCCCATCAAATAACTCCTTTTCAGTCTCTCTCCCCCTCCATATCTTAGTGCCCCTTCTACCTTCTCTTATTGGTGTAACTCTATATTGTGTAAGTAACAGAGATATTGCAAGAGATCTCTATTGTGATCCACTTAAGGTGGGAACCTGTAGGGATGTAATTGTCTCATCTGTGTGTTTGTCTATGAATCTTTGTCTATAATAATCAACCTTGGACATGGGGAAATGCTGGGCAAGACTTCCTCTATAGCTAAAAAAGGAGCTACCTGAACCAGTTTACTTCAATTTTCTTCAA